GCACACTTAAATTCCAACTCTTCGCCGCCTTCTTGAATAACTCAGCTGGCAGTCAGCAGCTTTGTTGTTTTTCAAGCGCGCTACTGCTATTCGTACCTCATAATGGTCAAGTGGTGGAACATTGACTTCGTCATCATCGACTGGGGACTCGGGTTCGTCTCTTCCACAGCTTTCAGTACCGCTGCCATTCAATAGGTTGGAAAAGTGTTCCGTCCATAATTTAAATACGTTCTGGACATCAGTCATTAGGTCGCCATTGTTGTTCCTAAAAGAGTTCGCCCTAGTCTTAAAACCTTCCGTAAGTCGCCTAAATCTCTGGAAAATTTTTCGGGCGTTTTTCGAGTCAGCCAGCAAGCTATTCGCTCTCACGTATCTCGGCCTCCCTCTTCTTAATGTGGCAAATACGTCTCGCTTCCCTCTTGAGCTCCCACATGGCTCGTGTTGCGCCCGATCGCAGCGTGGATTTTTTGATGCACAGAGACAGGTTCGTAGCTTTGTTGCAACAAGGAAGTGGTTGGAGTCGATGTATGGCCCTCGGAGTGTACGTACGTCTAAAACATTGGAGGCATGCCTTCCGTCTATCACAACGTGATCGATTTGGTTTTTTGTTTTTCGATCTGGATACAGCCACGTAGCTTGATGGATCTTTTTATGCTTGAACCTAGTACTGCATTTTTGCGCTACCACTAAGTTGCACTACCACTATCTATTCAGTGATAATTAAAATGCTGAATTCAAAATCACTGAAAATTTAGTAATAGTGAACAAAATTACTATCACTGAAGGCTAAGTGATTGTGCAAACCAAATTGCAAAAAACTCACTATCACTAAACTTTTAGTGAAACCAGCCAAGCGAAAATAGCCTTACATGTGCAAGTGCAAACCGCTAATCCAAAGTTCTCATTCTCGATATCAAACTAAAATTTTGCAAAACTTTGCTGGAAAGTGTTGATTCATTCACTCTAGAAGATGTTCGAGCGCTGGAGTTTAAAAGGCAACCGGTAGGTGAGGAAAATAATTTACAGCCTTCCGTAAGTGTTAATACATCATTTCTCTAATTCCATGAGTCCACAGGTATTTAAATAAAAGAAACCAACTTGCGAAAGTTTTGGAAATAATTTGATTTTTCAGATGAAAATCGATATATATATATCGATAGTACATGACGGAACTATAGCAACTGAAGTAATTTTGTACCTGAATGACGAGGATAGGAGCATTGAAGCTTTGCATCCTATTATAAAAAGAAAAAATGTTTTTAAAATCAACACACCTCTTCCTTCATATGCGCCAGTGGAAAAACTTCTTTCCCTTTCTGGGATTGTCAATCGATCGACAAGGCAAAATCTTACTGACCGTAATTTTGAAGTGTTGGTTCTAAAAAAAGCAAATAAAAAATGAATTTTGCTTTTATATTTTTGAAGCGACAAAGTTAGAAGTCTCCACTCAAGAATAAATATGGTTTATTTTGAATACATTTCCTTGCACAGCTTCAGCTTATATAGTCTTACTTTTGTTCTTCATTAAGTACTATGTCATAACAATTAAACTGCATTGTGCCCAACCCTGGTTTCGAGCCCCTGGTAAAATCGATCAGCCCCAGTCCGTTGTCGAACGTTTCGTCGTGGAGGCTGAATTTTCCGACGATGGCGCCTATCCTGCCCACCTTGGCATTGAAGTCTCCAAGCACGATTTTGATATCATGGCGGGGACAGAGTTCGTATGTACGCTACAAGCGCTCATAGAAGAGATCCTTGGACGCCTCGTCCTACTCTTCCGTCGGGGCATAAGCGCAGATGAGCAAGATTGATGCCGATCGTGGCTAAAGGCAAACTAAATGTATGTACTAGTTTCATAATATGAACAATTTTTCTTTGATTAAAAATTTTCTTTGTTCGAGTTTCATAAAACCTTACCCAGTATAGTTGTATATATTAACACTGGACCACAAGATGCATCCTGAACCTTTCGGGCAGCATTATCATTCGATTATCGCAAAGAAACTCCGATCGAAGCAAAAATCACAAAAATTATTAAACGGCAAAAGTCAAATCAATATATCATAAAAATCAATGGATTTTAAAAATTTTGTCGAAGTTTGGCTTTAAAATCGTTACAATTTGGCTCTCGGAGAACCTATGTAGGAATTTCTGCTATAGCACAAATTATATATCTTGAATCGCACTACATTACAGTTACACGGCTATACTCAATCGACTCTTGCGTCCTCGTTCGCGCACTCTGGGCAACGTGAGCAACCCATGTGCGTGATGCGGTAACCAATCCGAGTGGAGCCTTGGGTCACGGCAGAAAGAGAGGGAGCTTCGGTGAGGCCACTCCCACTTATTCGGTTTGAGGGCTCACTGAAGTCTGCATGGCTTGGAGCAAGAGGCCTGCTATATAAACTTCTATTTTGTTGCGAAACCACCCCCATCCCAGCAATGTGGGACCCGCCACATAAAAACCCCTTCCCTTAATGGGGAAGGTGCATCTGCCCGGCTGGTTGATGCCCTCGTAAGTACAAAGGCTGACATCACCGCCATCCAAGAAATGCGTTGAACGGGGCAAGGCAAGAACTGCAGGTGCCATGTATAGGAGCGAAAATTCGGTGTTGGATTTTTGTTGGGAGAGAGACTGTCGCCGACTGCTGTTTCTCTTTTTGCCTATTTTTCGGTTTGCAGTGTCTTCTTTTTACATTTTTGAGAGGTTTAGTACCTTTTGCTGCCTATTTCACTATTTGATTTGTTCTTCTTTTTACATGTTTTAAGGTCCTAAAAATCCGTTCCCTGTTAATTAGTATCGAATAGTCTTGATATTTCGATCTCTTAAGGTTTTTGCATTGATTATATATCAACCATACAATTTTTGCTTTTCCTCCTTCCAACCATTGAAAACATGCAGTTTGCTCCACTGTTCTGTTTGTTAATAATAATAATAAATTGGCGCTTACACATATGTTAGTGTTTGGCCGAGCTTCTCCTCCGATTTGTGGCGTGCGCCTTGATGGTGTCACACCAAGGGGAGGGACCTAAAGTTTTACGCCGCCTCTGAACGGCGATTGTATTTTGATGAGAAGCTGTTTTTCATTGCAGAAATACACTCGGAGGTTTGCCATTGCCTGCCGAGGGGCGACCGCTGTTAAGAAAATACCTTTTTTGTCAAAAATTTTTTTGCGGTGTTGCTTTGACCAGGGCTTGAACCCAGGCGCTGCGGAGTGGAAGCGCGCACTGCTTACCACTACACCACAGCGGCTGCCTGTTCTGTTTGTTGCTTAGAATATATCTACATATGTTCCTACATACGTAGATACATACATATGTACATAATATCTAGTCCACCAGTGATGGAAAATGGGTGTGCATTGTGCGATTTTTGGCACTTTCGGAAGCGGCACTATTTTTGCCTAACTCAATGTAACTAATAAAATTATTTTTTTTTTTTAGCTTAAACTGATAAATGATATAACATAGAAACGCAAGCAGAAGAAGCTGGCTTCCGCGTTCTGCATATACGCTTAACATTTTTGTTTAAACAAATTTGTCGCAATTTCATCTCTAAAGCAAATATTAAATATCGTTTAATATACACTTTAGACTTAAATAATCACATACCTATTTTGAATATTCTTTGTGGAACAGAAGCCGAAATATTTCTTACTAAAGAAAATTCTGCAGAAAATTAAATTAAAAATGCTTTGCAATTTAATGTTGAATTCTGCCAAGAATTAAGAAAAAGAACCTTGATACTGAAATTTTTAAAAGCCGTTACGGCTTTCGCGCCAAAAGCAGTAAGCTCTGACGATACGAATAACATCAATTTTGATACGAGAAAAGTACTGCGTATGTATTACAAATAATGATCTCAGTGAAAATGAACTAACTAGTTGACTAAATTTTAATTTACACTGAATTCCAAAATTTAAATATACAAAGAATCAGGCCTTTTCATTTCTAGACCACAGCATATGGAACTGTCCAATATTCGCAACAACGCCTGTATGCTAGTTACAAGTAAGTTTATGCAAGCTGGACATTGTAATCTGCAAATACTTTAGGAATAAAGGGGACTAATGATTTGTGTTTTTACAATTCGTAATTCAGGGTAAATGACTGAGCGATGATTTTGGTTCGTTTTTGAAAACTACATATACTTCCGGGTATGCAGTTTTATAGTCCATTCAATTTGCGTAGATTTTTGAGAACTTTTTCATTGAAGGTGTTGCACTTTTTCCTCCATACTCAAATTTTTTGTACATCCAATATGTGATAAAAAAATGCAAAAAAAAAAAAAAAATATTACAAATCAACGCGAGATCTTAGCCGCACTTGCACTTTGTAAATCCAAAAGTGAATGGACTATAAAACTGCATACCCGAAAGTTTCTAAAATTTCTGACAACAAAGTTTTAAATTTGAATGAACATTTTTTGTAGAAAGTTTTAAACTTTAATTTTAATGGTTTTGTTGTTGCACTAAATAAATGTTTTCCGTGAGATTTCTGTTTTTCTTATATGCAATAAGTACTGTAAATATATTTATTAAAGGAAATGGTGCCTATCGACGACTTTCAATTTATTGGCACATTGACCTGCCTGTGCCTAAATCACTTTCCGGAGAAATTCGGCACAATTTTAAATTTTGATTTTCCATCACTGGCCCGTACAGCACACCAGCCGAACAAATTTCCCTCCTACACCTTCAGCTGTATGTTGATCTGCTCGTGTCACGACATTATCACGTTTACATAGCATCGTTCTTTACTCATTTATTGCTGTGAATGATAGATTGTTGTTACTTCATTTAAGGTAGAAATACTTGTTACGTACGAAAAGCTCTTTTCATCATTCGGCGTGAGTCGGCTGTCAGCACATTCTTTGGGGTTCACATGAAGGTGGGCGAATACGGGTGGGGCGTTAACTTTGCGCAGTGCAGTAATAATTCTGCTAAAGTTACTGCTTTTGTTGCTGTTGATTTAATGTTTACTGCTTTATATGTGTTGAACATTGTTGTAGCGGTTAATCGCAAGTCGACGTTTCGGAATCTAAACAATATAACGGCGCCGGTGTTTCGAACAGATCGCAGTAGTCGCCGTAACTCCAGCCGATACATTCACTGAGACGTTGATAACAGCATCAGCCAGACGGTCACCTAGTCGGTCGTAATTTGTTTTCATTCAACGCTTCAAATTTCAATTTCACGCAAAACCCGTTGAATTCAATTTGCGTAATAGAATTCGGATTACATACTTATTTATAAAAAGTGAAGTAAATGAACTTGTAAATCGTTGTGATCGGTATTAAATTTCGCATTCGAACAAGACTGTGATATTTTTGGTGCCTACTACTTTTACAAAACCATAGTTAATTAAATTAAAATTAGTTAAATTCTTTAAACGAAAATGTACGGCATAAAATTATTATGCGTGTGTGCGTTATTATGTCACTATGTCACGGCAGCCTCGGTGGTGCCGGTACCACTTATTCAAACTTCTAATGTTAAAGATCCTGGCGTGGAATTTGTGCCACTTGAGGCATCCACAACTGCTAAAAAGCAAATTGAAGGTGAGTAACAAGTAATCGCCTTACTCGCTTGAGGGTAAGATAAATCGCTGCAAAATGTGGACTACATTTAAGTGCAACAACGAACTGAAAAAAAGCATTGCTTTAATAACAACTTGAGGCAGATGTGTGACAGTTTCTTAAACGCATTAAAATGCTTTCGCGTTGGTTATTAAGCATTTGTACACTTCGCACATGATTTATTTCTACGTAATGAGAAAAGCTCGGCAGCATTTAAAGTGTACCATTCCAATTAATTTTCGTAGTTATAATTACACTTGCGAGCGTAGTGGATGCATAGTATATATATGTACAAACGTAAGTAAATAGATAATTGTTTCTGTTACCATACTGCTATGCGCCACATTCAACTGGTTCATCTTAGTTTTTGCACCGCAATAAATGAAATTCACCTTTTCCTAGTTTTATTAGTTAGTAATTGATGATTTGCAAATTAGCTTCTGGCTTTCCGCGTTGAGAAGTCGTTTTGTATGCATGCAGCCACATACTTAATCAAGCTAATTGAAATTCAATATCAAATAAAACTCACTGAAAGCAGTTACCACAGGATTTCGTAAAAGGAATTTTAATTATAACAATGACAGAATTTTAGCATAATACAATAAAAAAATTTAGAACGAACCGCTGTGGGTGAGCGTTTTCTTCCCTTTGGGGTTGACGAATTCCTCAAATATTTCGGACATTCGAAAGAAATAACATTTCCTTAACCCATTTATTTATTATTTCTCCTCTTTTTGAACAACCCGGTCCTCAGTTGAGATGTTTTTTTTTTGAGTGGCAGCACACAAGGACTTACGCAGCGTATACGGGACTTTCTTTCTTGAAATTCCAGACAACTTAAGAAGTATGTAATATCATTTCATTCTAAAGCAGGGATCACGCGATTTGTACATTTGTACATTTGGAAGTCACAGAGTGGTGTTGTCCAGAAATTTTGATCGAGAATGGGTTCAGCTCAATAGGAATTTTTCAAACAACACCACTCTGTTTGTACATTTGTACATTTGGAAGTCACAGAATGGTGTTGTCCAGAAATTTTGATCGAGAATGGGCTCAGCTCAATAGGAATTTTCCAAACAACACCACTCTGTAACGGAGAAAATGAACAAATCTGTACAAATGTACAAATCGTGTGGTCCCTGCTTAACATTAATAAAATAACTGAAAAAATTTCTTTCACTAAATACATGATTTTTATTTGAGAATTTTCGGTGCTACTGGAAAAAATGCCATGCAAAACATGTTTATTTATTTCTTCAATTCAGCAATTTCGTTTATAGTACATATATGCATATGAAGGTACATTTCTTTTTTCTTCAAAAACTTATATTAGGACATGTAAGCATCAGAAAATCTTCGTTTTACTCTCACTTCGAAAACCAATCAATTAAAAAGTGGTGAATTATAAGCGGATACCTTGCGCAGTTTATTTTTAATGCGTTTTTTGAAGTGAAAATTCTTTGCTTTCGGTTGGGAGTAAATGCAAATATCAATGTAACGAAAAATCGACACAATCGTTGGGCTCAAATTCCAAAAGAAAAAGCGAAAGAAAAAGTTAGGCGATGGCTCGGGTGGTTGGTCACGATTAAGATTAAGATTAAGATTAGGATTAATATTAAGATCGAGATTGAGATGGTGATTAAGATTAAAATAACTGTTCCATATTATACAGCTGTGCTCTTAGATGTAAAATAACGTTTTATTTTTCTAAATTAGAACTTTTTCCCGGTACAGAGTGATTTGAAGTTAGGGAAATCTAACCATGCGAGACTTCTCTACACTCAAAAACGGCTGTATGGATTTAGATGAAATTTAACACACGGATCGTTTATACCTCGGACTAGCATTTGGAGTAGTAAAACTGCAAAAAAGAGAGGAACAAGTTTCACTTTAGTCGTGCGTGGAGTCCACACATAACTTTTTTTTTGTTAAGCAACATGAAAAATCTGTTTTTTTTATACACTCGAATAGGTTCAGTATGTGTATTGAAGTGGCGCGTAAAGCGGAGTTAATAAAATTTTTTACAATTCTGAAAGACAATACCAGACACCTGCATAACGAATATAGGCCAAGAACATTCAACTACATAAAATGCGAAATTCGAGACATTCCCGAATTCATGAATTTATGCCTTTAGTGTAAACAACCAACCCATACAATAAGGCTAAACATAAATGTAGTAACAAAAAAAAGATGTCCTTAATAAATACTCGTAACATCACATGACTTAAACGACAATAAAGTTGTGGTTTTCTTAGTAGATGAAATTATTTTACTTTTTAAGATAAGGGAGGATGTTTTTTCACTACACACCATGATCGAGAGATAAGTAAGGCGGTCTAAGCTGCGGCGTAGAATTATGGAACAATTGAGCTTAAATTTTAACTATCGGAAAAATATAGCTACGATTTGTGAACCAAAGTGTTAATTTTTTGAACCGACCATATTTCGCACAACTAAGTTTAGTAGAAAATGTTTGGTCTTGGTTGATGTTCAAAGTTTTCATGTCATATAATGTCTCCCCTTGGGATAAGAATGGCATGAACTGATAGAACCTTGAATTCTTCAAAAATCCATTTACGTCAGCATTCCAGAGTTAAGCTCATGATACTAAATAATATCAGCACTAAATAAAGAAGCTAAGTATCTGAACAAAAAATAGCAGATTTAATAAAAAAAAAAACAATTTAAACAAAGTTTTTTACCCTTTTCACAATTCCCTTCAAAATTCTTCAGCATTCGAAACTTGTATCAGAAAGTCCAGAAAAATATGAAAGTACCTATCTATGTGAAGCCTGAAGTATGTATGTAGGCATATGCGTGCTTTGGAGTGACCGTTATTGGATTTTATTAATTTCCTACAATAAATCAGGACTTTAGGAGTAAGTTACGTTACCTATATCAGTGAAGGCTCATAAGCAAACATAGCTATGTATGCACATATTGTACTAAATTCACTAGTTTACAGCAAAACAAAAAATAAACAAGCATAAAACAATCCACTTGTATCTTCTATTTGCACAATAAAGATGATTTTCTGACCGGAAAACTTTATTACCAAAAATTGTTACCACTTCTTGTAACCACAATTCTAGGCACACTAGTAACGCTATAAATATATTCAACAATTTAGCTACGGAGTTTTGTAGAAGTTCTAGTATTATACCAGCTTAGTTGGTAACAAAATTTACCGGTTACAAGAGTGCGCAGAATGCGAAAAGTGTTTAGGTATTGAATGACATTTTATTTGCCGGAAAAAAATTTTTACACCTAAAGCATTCGATAACCAATTAAATTAAGTATATCAAATTAGAGGTTTTTCAGCCAGATAATTGTATGAATTATTTTATTTTGGACTGGTAGCAAACACTTTTTAACTTGTAAATAAATTTTTTAATTTGGCAGCCGCCGCACAGTGTGGCGGTCCCATACATATTGCGGCCAAAAACAGAATGGCCCGTCGTAAAGCAATGAAATTTGGCATAGTTAATACTTAGGGAAATATTAAGAAATACTGACAAATTTACCAATCCGTCCATACGGGCAGAAAATAAAAATTTCTATTTTAATATTTTTTCAACATATATCGCGAATAACATACTAAAATAGTATGTACTGAAGTAGACAAAGCACAAAATAAATGTTTAATATATTTTAGAATTCTAATGCTGGATTTCCGCTAGGCATTAAATGGCAAAGCACAATGACAAATGACAAAGTTCTGCATAAGAGTTTTATACACAAGTACCATGAACATAAGAATTTTCCGACAATTTGTGATGTTTCACATTTTTATAAGCTTTTATTTAATTACATTTTAGGATGGATTTCAGAATAAATAAAATTCTCAAAGTATTGAATAATATAAAAATTTCTAAAATCTCATTAATTTTGTACATTTCAAAATGCCCTTATTTTACCAAAATTTCTAGAATCTCCCAGATTTCCATAGTTTTTGAAATTTTGTAAATTATCCTAAAAATAAGAAATCTCAAGAAGTTTAATAATTTCAAAAAATTCAAAATTCTGAACCTGCGGAACTATTCAAACTTGCTGTGAGTTTCAACTATGTAAAATAGTACAAGTTCGAAAACACAACAAAAAATTATAATTAAAAATTTAATATTAAGTAATTTGGAAATTTTGAAAGGCATTTTTCGCCAAGTGTGTTATAGTTATATATTAAAAATATCAATTTTATGCGGACGCAGATACGGTCCATAATTGCGCAAATTTGTAAGTGCTCACGATGTTGCAGTAAAATCGCACTCACGTTTGTTCACGTGACTAAATTCTTTTTTTCTACAAAAATGTATAATATCGTTTTAAAACTGGCACTCGTTCCAAAAGGGGTATTTTTACCTTAATGACTTCGACCATTTATAAATTATTATTAATTATTCCACAATTGTTTTCATTAAAAAACAGCCTCAAGCTCAATAAAATTGTTGAATTTAATGAAAAAAAAAGATAATTTTTAAATTCTCCCAAAAACCCAATTAATTGCACTGCTTTATTTTTAATGTAGGGATCTGGGGCCAAGAAAAGATTACCAAAAACTCATGAAACAGTATTTTCTTAAAGTTTTCTTAAAAATTATCGATATCGACAAAAACACTTATTAAACGTCGGCTGAATTATATAAGTTAAGAATAAGCTGCCTTTTTTCGCGATGAAACGACGAAATTTTGGAAAATTAAAATACTAGGATTTTGCTAAAAAATCTGATGCCGTAGATAGGAAATCAAAAAACTATAATACTGAAGAGATTGTATTTGTTTACAGCTGTTTTGCATAGCAAATCTCGGGATGAATCCAAACTATTCGTATGGCAATATTGTATAACCTTTTTCCTTAAATATAATAAATATTATTATTTTTCTCAGCAAGAACAAATATTTTTATCAAAATCTTGAATCATTTGACGTTTGAGCTTCGCTATAAATGTACGATCGTGTTATTGAATTAATTATTTTTCATTT